CAGGTTCTTTCAAGTTCCTAGGAGTCCGGTATCCTAAAAAACAAGAAAATAGAAACGTTTGTACGTTTCTTTAATACAATTCAAGAAAAAAATTAAAAAAAATTAACGTTAGTAAAATATACTAACGTTAAAATAAAGGGTGGGCGGGCGATCATAAAATTTAATGTTAAATTATCTTTTTAACGTTAAAAAAGTTTTTTTTTAAAAAAAAATAACGATAACGGTTTAAAAAACCGTTTTAGATTATCAATGATCAGTTAAAAAACTGATCAGAGCTTAACTGAATTAAGAAATGCCGAAACTATATGTATATCATATGATATACTGCGCCGAAATGCCAAAACAGTTTCAGCAGTTTCAGCAGTTTCAGCATTTCGGCATTTTCAGTTGCTTGCCGAAACCTAGTTTTGGCAGTTTTGGCAGTTTTGGCATGCCGAAACTCCCTAGTTTCGGCAAGCAACCTTAGTACCATAGCTTGTTAGAATCGTCTCACTGAAACAAATCGAATGGTAGTAGTTTTATCCTTTCATGATCACTGGCTGATGAGTTATTCAACAAAATGTTAAGCATCGGCATTATTATATTTCTTGATTTACGTTTACTGCGCCATTTAACATTTTGCTGAATTTCTTGGTACCTAGTGATTATAAAAAGATGATTAATAGCTCGTTGGAATCCCCTCATCAAGACAAATCGAATGGTGGTAAGCTCATCTTTCTATAATCAATATTGACGGAGTTACTACTTAAAAACCATTTAATATTTTTTAATTTCTGAAATTGATCTAGTGATTGGATTTCGATGTATTTTATACCATTAGATTCATCGCATCAAGATGAATCGAATGGTAGTAAGATCGTCTCTCTAGGATCAATATTGGCAGAGTTATTACACAAAAACCATTAATATTTTTTTAACTTCAGAAATGGAAATTAATCTAGTAATTGGATTTCGATGTATTTTATACCATTAGAACCGTCTCATCGAGATGAATCGAATGGTGGTAAGATCATCTCTCTACGATTAATATTGGCTGAGTTACGATACAATAAAGTTTTAAGTATAATTTTGGCCAAAATTATGTTAATTTTTGGCCGGAATTATGATATACTAATATAAGAAATTTTTTATATAGTCACATCTCTTTATAATCACCAAATATGGACTGTCCCAAATGTGTGACTATAAAGAGAGTTGACTGTAATATTAATTACTTTATATATTTTTATTTTACTTATTTTAATAAAGAATTAAATGTACTGCAGGTAATAAAAAAAAATACATAGCATATAATAAAAAAAGAATTTAATTTTTGTAAAATCTAATTTAATTTTTGAAACTTAATTCAAATGATTTAATTTAATTGGTAAATTACATCATATTATATTATATAAAGAAATATATTTTTTTTTACACTTGCGATATGTTGCATTTCCCTTTTTTAGTAATTTTTATATATTAATTATATTGATCATTTTTATTACATGACTTCATTGAGATTTTCCATTTTTTTAAAAATCCTGGTATATATTTACTATATATTATAAAAAACCTTATACAGTTATACTATATGTATTTTTAACCATTCTACAAGTTTTCTTAATATATCAAAAAGGATTTAAAATGTTATTTTTGACTTTTATATGTAATATATTATAGGAGTATGACATAACACAGGTGTAATAAAAAACAAAACTTTTATATAAAATATAATTATATTATCAAAATTTTCATATTTTACATTTTACTTTATTACTTTAAAACATTTTTTTTATTTGTAAAATAATGTAACTTTTGTAAGAATTTTATAATTTCTTTTAATTATTGATTAATAAATTTATAAATTACTGTATAATTTAGTAATAATCATTAACAAATACTCTTTTTATTTAAAATTAACTATTGAAATTAAGTTTTAACTTAAATCCTAGTTTTTTTAGTCCTTAAATCAGTGTTTGGCAAATGACTTGAAATGAACAAATGACTCAAATGACAAGTCATTTGTCATTTGTCATTTGCAACTCAAATGACCTGTCATTTAAGTCATTTGAAAAATATTAAATATTCTGAGAATT